TCAGCAGGACTTTGCCTGAGGAACAAAAGACTGAGACCACAGAAAGGTTTTCCTTTAGACTGGATATGGTTTTCAAGTCTTAAAAACCTCTTTTTCCACATTCCCCACATGGCCTCCAGACCCTTTAGACTTTGTGTCTGCCCACAGCCACTCCAAACGAAGAGGCATGAAGTGTGACTTAGAAATCAAACCCACAAACTTGAGCAAGAAACCTACCGGGAAGAAGTGAAGAGGGACCCGTTAACGGATCCAAAGCACGACAAGCCAACAAAGACGGGTATGATCCAGGACATGACACCAAGGTGGTAGTTCCCAAAATCCTAAATGAGGGGGTGACAAAAGTATTGATTGCAAGCCTTGCAAAGACACCCAACTATTGCAATGCAACGCAGGATGGCATCTCCAGGAACTCAGCACCGCATGGGCGCAGGCTGGAGTGGGGGCTTGGTACCAGCCCAAAGGATGGAGCTTTGTCACCTGAATGGCCCAGACCGGTTTGGGACTGGGAGACACCCCCTGAAGCACTGAACAGTCCTGGTCATGCTCAGTTTGCAAGGTCATACCACGCTGCTCACTTCTGAAGCAGTCAGGATTTCTGACCTCAATGGCATTTTTAATTAACAGAAGTATTATTTTTCCTCTCTTAATTAAAACAAGGAAGATACAGAGAGAGAACAAGCTAGTTCAGTACTGACTGAATGACCTTTTCCCGTAAATATCATGCTTGAGTAACCGATGTAAGTCATGAGGCCAGCAGTAACCTTGCATATTTATGAATCGAGAGCAGCGTGAACTGTCTGCCCACTCTTACTCCTGCCTGTGATTAATCCCACTGGGTATCACGCTGCTCATCCCTGCTCCCATCACAGCTGCTCTTTTATCTCCTGTCAAACACCGGCTTGTTTTGTTAAGCAGCCAGGACCAAGCTAGCAGAGATGGATGCAGAGATTGTCATTCTGCTTGAACCAGCCCTGAAAAACAGATGAGTCACATCAGTGATGCACGTATCTTACCACAGCCACGGCTTCGGACATCAGCATCTCCTCCGTCGACAGGGTCGTGAAGTACGCCAAGTTTGTCAGCACGTAAACCAAAGTGACTACAGGGAGCGAGATGATGATAGCCAGAGGCAGGTTTCTAGGAAGAAAAGAGAATATACAATATAATATAAGCCACTCTGCTCTTCCTCGACTCCTTGGCACGTCCAGTTCCCAGCCCCAAGCTCGGAGAGGAGTTGATGCCCACACGGGAGCAGCCTGGAGGCCGTCTGAGCGATGCAGAGCAAAGCATTATGGCAAAAGGGACTGAGAAAAGGCATGGAGAGCCTCTGGCTGCCTGGGCCAGGCATCCAAGATGACAGCAAAGGCAATTAATTACCCTCTTCTGGGCAATGAAGAAGCACTTGTGTTGTGGGTTTCTCATGGGAGATGGGAACATGGGGGGTTTAAGGGGCAGTTTTTAGGCTCTAACTTCATGCAGCTGGCCAGACTGCTGACACTCAAGGAGTTCAGACACAGCCTGAGCGGGTCCATAAAGACAAGGCTGCGCTGGTACAAATCTGCCTTTCCAAACAGTCTAACTTCATTTGCGGACGGAAACCGAAAAAGGAAACCCTGCTTGGTGCCGTGGATAATTGGTCCAGTGGAGCTCAAAGGCCCAGGAGGAGAGAGTCAAATACCATGACTGCATTCAGAAGACAAGAACATAATTGCAAGCTGCAAAAACCCCCTTTTCCAAGTGTGTTTTTCAAGGAAAGGGCGTATCAAATCTTACGCTTCCCAGCAGGCGCTGATCACTGCCAGGGCCAGCCAGGAACGGGTTCTTGCACAAGTGACCCCAAAGCTCACATCGACAGAGCCTCATAAGCCCCTTCAATGATTTCTCAGCAATGTCCTGCTTCGGTGTGACCCACACTCACGCTTTAGAGACGTGGTTTAGTGGTGGCCAGGTTATGGTTGGATTTGATGACCTTAAAGGTCTCTTTTCCAACCCAATGAGGCTGTGATTCGCCAGGTCCCTGGCATAACCCCGAGAAGCGGGAGCAGAGCGGAAAGCGGCTGTTGCTCAAGGGAGCAGGAAGAGCACATGACAACCACATGTGTGCACAAATACTCCTGCGGGAGTTTACACAAGGGAGCAATAAAGGCCCGAGTCCCTCTTCCTCGCCCATAACTCAGAGAGGTGCCATGCCAAGGAAGCAGGGCTGTCCAACAACACTGGTAATATTTGCAGTACAGGAAAGCAGCGTAAGCAACAGCCCTTCTCACACGGAGATTATTATTTGTTATTCCCTTTCCCCTGTTACAGGGAAGAGCGATGCCATTAATTTACCTCGTTTTCTATTTCCTTACAAAAAGACCTTGGCTCCTGGGCTGATTAGCAACCCCTGTTACCCAAGGAAACCTCAACACACGAGGAAAGGGCTTCCCCAGAGCAAGTTTTCCCTCCAGGGAAGTCACCAGAGGACACACACCTACCTGTAGGGGTTGATCATCTCTTCTGTAACGAAATTCAAGTAATTCCTGTAATTTAAAAAGAACAGTGGTTAATTCTGGTTCATCCACGGAATAAATGAAGCCCTTTACCTTACTCATCTGCAAGGGAATTTCAAGGAGGGTGGAGAGAATGAAACCTAAAACTTCTGCAGGCACAACCTGGGGACAAAAGGAACAGCCTACGGTGTTCAGCACTGAATAAAGCTAAGAGGGCTGCATCTTACCATCCTCCATAGGCAAAGAGGCCGCTGTACAACGCTAACACGATGTTCCCCACGTCGACTTTTGTGCCTTTGAAGGAGTGCTCAGGAGTCAGGTTTGTCACATCACCTGCGGAAAACAAGAATAAGAAAGGGTTGATAGAGATGGGCCCTGAACCCCAAGGACCTCTGTGGGTGTTGAAACAGAGAAATCTGGAGGAAAAAGCCACTTTTAGAATATTTAATTATCACACTGATGCATTTTGGGTTATGCTAGAGAGCATGTACATGTGTATTTCTATTGGGCTGATTCCTCTGTGCTTAATTAATCCGAATTAATGCATCAAATAATCAGCCCCAAATATCCTCGTCCCAAGCAACCAGTCATGACCAACAACTCGGATTTTCTCACACTGCAACGTGCTATCAATGAGGTGACCTCCTTGCGAAGAAATCGTCCTGGGGACCTTCCTGCTGGAAGATGCTATGCAAACAGATATTGTCACGTTGTCCTCGCAACTGAAAGCTGCTTTCGGTCGATAAAACCCCAGGATTTCCTCCGCTTCCACCGGCCACCCAATAAAGCAGAAACCCAGGATTTCCTCTGGGCCCACCAGCCACCTGATAAAGCAGAGGGTTGTGGCGATGCCTTTGATTGGGGGAAGTCAGGTTCTTTGGGGCCCGAATATCAGAAGTTGGCTTCTTTAGGGCTTGACTATCCCAAGTTCCTGTTATGTATCTGCTTTTGAAAGAAAAAGCCATAAATAGCCATCTCGATTGTACCTTCGGTAAGAACTCTCCCGGCACAGCCAAGGGTTTATTTATTTGCCTTTCAAACGCTCTGCAGTTGTTTTGTTCCCCGCCTTTTGATGTGGGGCCTGCGATGGCGAAGCCGCGCTCCCCTCCCCGGACCCAGCGCTCCCCTCGGTGAGGACGGAAGCGGGGAGCAGGGCAGGACTCGGCAGGTTTGCACCCAGGGAGCCCTGAGGGAGCCCATGTGATTCCTCTTAGGGCATAGATCTTCCCTAATCGCCCCAGCAACCGCATCACATGGCAGTCAGCAGGGCCTGGAGCTTAACCCTTCATCTCTTCGCGCCGGGTACCCAGGACGTGTCTGGGGAAGGCAGAGGGATGCTAACGCAGGCGGTTTCCCTCTGATGGCCTCTTCCCATACCACAGTGGAAACTTCCCCTGTCCTATGCCACCAAAAGCCACTTTTGCAGAGGCTGGGTTACAAATCTGGACTTTAAATGCTCTGCACTCATCTTTCTAGTGGTGGGAAAGGGGGATGTTTCCTGACAGCACTATTACATTCATGGGGCTTCACAAGGGACTGCTCCAAACCTGTGCCAGCGACACAGAGCTGCCCTATGTGTGCAGGAGAGCTACATCGCATCTTTACCTTCCTCTATCCCCATCCTTTCCATCTGGGGCATTGCTCCCCATCACCTCCTTTCTCCCTCTTGCCGAGTCCTAACCAGGACAACAAGATCTTCCCTAACACGGCATGCAAAACGCTCTCTGCTCACTAAACCACCCAGGAAACCAGCTCCCCTCTGCCCTGCCCAGTTGCTATTCCTTTTGCAAGGGGATGCTGCAGCTCATGCACTGGGAACCACCAGTTTTCCTTGCCCGGATCCCACTGCAGATTGCAGCTCTCCACTGGTGTTGCCTTGTCCCTCTCTCCCAGCACCTCCTGGCTGTGAAGGTCTCTTCTGGTTCCACCTTGGGTTGCATTTAATGCCCCTTTAGACAGCAAATCTCCTTAGCAAAACGAACCTTTTTAAAATGTGCAGTTAGAAGATGAACATCAGAGTGTAACAGGAAAGAGAAGAAATGCTAAGAAACGTATAATTGTGAGTCTAATCTTAATTCCTGGTGTATACATTCAGTCATACAATCTCAATTCAGCGTTGATGCCCCAGCCTGGCTGTGACCGATAAGGCCGAGCAGGAGGTGGATGTGCACAGTATCACGCTCTGCTCCATCTCTCGAGCTCAGCTTTCCTGAGTTCATTTTCTGCCTCTTCTGAATAATTACCAGTCTTGTTCTTTCCAAGTCTTTTGTTATGGGAATAAGATATGCTTTTTGTTAACAGTGACTGTAATTAGCTACTGAACAGCACAGGGATGGATGAGGAGCAGGAGAGCTCTCCGGGTGTTTCAAACATCCCCTGGGACATCTCATAGGGCTGCTTGTGCCCAGCTCCCATCCGGGCTGAGGGATCACCACCTTCACCACTGCAGCAGAGAACACTGGTGGTCCCCAGACCGAAACCACATCCCTGGATTCAGGATGTGCCACGGGACGGCTATGGCAGCAGCACCACAACAAAGAAATTAAGAGAAAGGCTGCAATTTCACTGCACTGTGGGTGGGCGAGGGTGATGGATGGAGGACGGGTGGGTGGGACACAACCAATTACTCGCACAGCTCTTCCTCGCACCCACCCATCTCTTTGAAGCACCAAAATGTGGCTATGGGCAAAGGAGCTGCAAGTCAGCGCGGAGGCAGCCAGGAGAGGAGTCCGGGTAGGAAGGAAGGGGTTTTTGTTCATCCTAAACACCAGAGGAGCTGACTCCGCACTGCCCTCTCCCTGCCTCACCTCTCCAAAAACCTGCAGTGAGTTGCTAAAATTCACATTCCTGTGGTAAAATGGATTTAGCAACACATCAGAACATGGTTAAATACCCAGAGGAGTTGAGATCTGTCTCTTCCCACTCCAAGGCGGCAAGCTCAGATCCTCAGGTGGATCGCACCTTTCGCACAACGTTTGCTTCTCTTACGATAAGTCTCCTTCCTCTAATACAAACACTCATTTGAGCTGCTGTTTTAGACAATCTTTAAGGTCCTTTCTGACCCAAACCATCCCACAGCTCTATGAGATGGAGCCATGAACCTCAGTTCAAACCTCTGCATCTTTCAAGCCCGATTGTGCAATTCAAGCCTCCTAACTGCACATTTACATTGCATATTTTGGGTCAAATCAAGGGTTACAAACCCACAAGCATGGCCTCAGCTGCTCCCAGGAGTTTCATAAGTGAGACCATCCCAGGCAAAGATGAGCTCTGCCCACCCCTGTATCCCTCAGCCCATGCAGCCACGGCTGCTCTCTAGGCACTGCCCTCCCCGTGCCCCACACCCCACAACCCAAAACCCGGGTTGAACTGGCTGCTCAGCTGCACTCTGCTCTACAATTAACCAAATTAAGGTAACAAGCTCTGACATAAACCCCATTTGCTGATCTCGCCAGCTGCCAAGACTCTGGTAATTGCGCCGGCAAGCGATGGGTCACCTGGGGCCTTCCCGCGGGAGGGCCCCATTTCAGGTCCCTGCGCTGCGTGTTCAGACCCTTTCTTTGAAAACGCTCCTTCGCTCCCCAGTCGTGCCCATTCTGGTTTTAATAGCGGAGCAATCTTCTCTTGCAGAATGCATTTAATGATAATTAAATATTCTTAAACTTGCCTAAACAGCGAGGAGAGGGAAAGCAGCCATCGAGAGAGTTCGGCAAGGGAAGGGGGGGGCCCTCGGCGCGTCCCGCTCGTAGGGGAAACCGAGCCAGGGAGAAACACGTCGTGTATACGAAAAACCCCAGAGGAGATGACCCGTTCGGCTCTTGAGCCATTTCTGAGAAAAGCAGCGAGGGTTCAATCGAGGGAGGCAGCAAAACGATGCCAAGAAACCCGCAGGGGCCAGGGTGAGGAGAGCATCTCCTCGGCAGCTCACGGCTCCCCGGGCAATGCACGCTCGGCAGCCAAATGATCTCTCTGCTCCTCTCTGATCGCTGCCACTCTGCAGATATCTCTGCTTTAAGCAGTTCTGAACAGCAGCTGTTAAACTTCGGGCCCGTGGCAAATTTATGGGTCTGAAAGGCACCGCCAGAAACCTTGGACCAGCCCTGGCGACCGAGGAGGAGCCCAATCTCCTGGGTTACGTGCCCAGCTCTCACCACCAGGACACTGCCCTCGTTTCAACTATTTCCTTCTGGTTATGGAAAAGCCCCTCTCTCCTCCCAGTGCTGGGAAGCTTTGTCAATGCTGTTCATGAAGAAATGCTGTTTCTTCTGCAGGGTGAGGCCAAGGGCTCCTGGATTCGCTCCACCCCACACACTGCTCAAGCTCCACAATTCTCCTTTTGCAATGGTCCACGAGGACACTACTTGGGCCAGAAAATGTTTTGTCACCTTTCCCTCCTCCTCTGCGTCCTGCTGATATCACCAAAAACCCTTTTACCCTCCTCCTCTAAGCAAACACCTCCTGATTTTCACATCCTCCGTGTCTGCTGGTGTAACATTTGTGGATAATAAAGAAGCAGACCCAGAAGCAGCGGTGCAAGCCCTGGAGCGATGCTCACAAAACACCGTGACTCCTCCAGGAGCCAGAAACCACGGAAGCAGTGCAGGGACCCTGGATGAGCAGCATCCTTTTGGTCCTTAGCACAGAAAGCTGTGTCCTACATGTCCCTGTGTCCATCCTGCAGATTAACAGCGAGGTGCAAGCCCTACACAAACCACCCAGTGGGCTCCCAGCCACGGCCATAAATTTATTTTTCCCTTTCTTATCTGCACTCCACATCCACAGCAATGGAGGATGACAAACAAGCCGGAGCCAGGCTCTGGAGGGGTTAACCAGAGCAAACCAGGCTGAGGACCTTCCTGCCCATCACCCAAACCTCCAGCATCTCAAGCAAGGCCTTCAACCAGCCCAGCATTGGATGCTGTGGGAAAGGATTGATTTAAAATACAAGCAATAGCAGATGTGTACACGCACACAGGGCTATCGACTCACTGAGGGCACGGATGACTGCTGCTGCTGCAACCAAAGAGTTCAGAGAGAGGAGATCCAGACAGGGATGCAAGACAGCAAATACCAAAGCATTAGCTGCTCTCTAGTTAAATACTCCTGCACTGCTGGGATAGTGCACTTGGAAAAACGAGAGGCCAACAGAGCCTCTCGTGTCAGCTGCCCTAAAACCCACTCAGCCCATGGTGGTGGGGCGCAGGGTCCCCTGACAGGGCTGAGATGTGCTCCTCGGCCCCCAGCGCAAGGCACCTACCTTGGTCAGGACACCAACAACGAGCAAACGCTGCAGTCCATGGCTCCTTGGGTAAAGCAGCTTTTTGGATGCTGGT